CAGCTCTTCTCCGGCACCATCTTCCTCTTCTGATTCCGCGGTGAGAAGTTCTAATTCCGCTTGAGCAACTTTTGACCGCGCTTCTGCCAATTCTAGTTCCCTTAATGCCATTGTCATCTTTGCTTGCGCTTCTGCTCTCTTCCTATGCGACGAGCGAACGGAAAGCGTGTCTGGATCGCGGGTCGTCTTCTTAGGGTGAAGCTGCTGCAGAGTCTTCATTGCGACACTTCTTTCTTGAATCTGCGGCGTTGGATGACTTTCTTCTTGGTGAGGAACTGACGCTTCGACGGTGCGTGTCGAGGGGGTGGTATGGGTTACGTCCCCCGGTGTTGATTCTTTTCCGGCAATGTTCTTGTTAAGAAGTACGGGTTGTCTGTGTACGCTGCTGGGCGATGCTCTTGTAAGCGTCGATCGATCTGAAGTTGACGTGTTGGTAGCCGTCGTGTTTGTAGAATCACTCGGCGTATTCATGCTCCAATCCGTCGTACTGGTACCCGTAGTGGCGTTGCTTTCACTCGTAGTCTTCGACTGCACTGATTTTGATCTTGTATTTGAAGGCATCTTCCTAGTTTTCCTTAAACCCGATCCGGCTTCTCGAAGGACCAATGTAAATGCTCGTATAAGGGAGCGTTGATAAAATAGAGCGGGTTCGCTGGCGGGATGTTAACTGGAGAGCATACAGTAGCAGTTAGATGAGCAATAAATAACACTTCTTGAGAGTTTCTTCTTATTTTATTTCTTGATTCCTTATTATTACATTGCCGGATTTAGAATGTTTTACCACGAAAAAACGCCTCTTTTTTATAAGCGGCTGTAACCAATCATAATTAAGAAAAAATCGCACACGGCATTAGTGAATCTATTGACCAATCAGAGCGCAGAATAACCCTTTCTAAGAGAGATTTACAATTTCCTTAATAAACGTGGTAAAACATACCTTACAACATTTATATTTATTCCTAACGATAGATACAACTTATTTCTATTATTCTAAACCTAAATTATTCAATAAACCTTTATTTTACACTTATAAAAAATAAAAATAGCTTCGCGGTCGCTTCACGGTTTAGCTCCGGAGTAGGATAGTATTTTTGCCGAACATACAAGTAGCGCCGCCAAGAGGTAGGAATGTACAACACTTTTTCAGGAATAATGCTTAAGAATCTATACAATATTTTTTCATGAAATTTAAATCTTTCTCATAATGAAATAACATTATATAGTGATTAATTGACATTAATGTTTCTTTTGAATTACTTTAAAGGAAAAAGAATTATATTAATCACCTATATGTTAATAGCTCTGAAAGTTATGATAAAAGAAATCTTACTAGAAAAATAAGCTTATACTTGCGTCTAATGTTCTAATCAGATCTAAATAATATTAAATAGATTCATATAAGTTACTTTAAGATAAGAATAGAAGTGTTTAATTTACTTTCCCGTTTTCAGCACTAATCAGTCTTTACACTTAGCTTTATTTTACGAATAGGAAACAATTAAGATTAAATACTATCACTTAGTTTTAAATCACTGATAAGAAATAATTAAGATTAAATGTTCGAATTCACTTTATCGTCGCTAACAGTTGTGTTAAAGTGTTTTAAAAAAAAACAACTTACAAAACACATTTTATTAATCATTGATTGCCCTTCTTAGATTATTATGTACTTACATAAATTACATTAGGTATAATATTAGGATATGAGATTCCTATACGTAAGCACGATTATCGAAAATCTAAAAATTACCTATTCTAATTAAATTAATAGATAATTTTAAGATTTTCGATAATTGTGCTTATCTATGAGATGTTTTCGTTAGTTAGCAAATTAAAGTAGTTAAGTACCTAATGTACTACCTGTATCGAAAGTTCATTATTATGTACCTACCTGTTTTCAATTTTAACTAAATGTGCTTCAACAAACTTATGGGCACATTTTAGCAGCTATATTCATCCCGGCTTCGGCAATGGACACGAACAAAAGGAAGCAATTTTTCTAAATAAAGATGTAGATATGTAGGTATTACAACCATAAATAGATAGCAGCGGCTAACCTAGTGAGTATGTGTGAGTGCGCGCTGCCCCCCCCCCCCCTCCGTCCGTCTCACTGGTCGGGGAAACAATTTGTAGCGAAAGGCAAGATGTTTTATAACAAAAACGGGCGCGCGAAATTTTATAAACAGACCTTTGGTAGTCTGGATGTCACGAAAAATCTATTGAATGTATCTGTTTAAAATAAAATTATTTGCACTTTTGAACAACTAATCTATCCCTGTATGGTAACTGTTTTGCAATTTTCGTTCTTCTTATGGTATTTATTTCCGCCCAAATATGTGTTAAAACTAGTGTTGAAATTCGGAATTTTTGACGCTTATAACTTCTAAACATACTCTTTCTTACTTTTTTGTTTCCATACAGGGCTAGATAATGATGAGACTAATTGAAATCATTTTTTATTTTGAACGTACACTATCAAACAGTGGAGTAATCGCCGGACTACGTTTGTATGGAAGAATAAGCGACTAGTGTACCCTAAAGGTCCATAGTTCATACATATTAAATCAACACATTTGGTTACAGTTCACGTTGAGATGAAATATAAAAAATAAATTAAATGTGTAATATTCCAGAAAGCTCTTGATCTTCCAATTTTTCTTCCAATTTTTGGTCTATCGACCTTTTCACAATGTCTACGAACAATACGAAATGAACCTTTTTTTAAGTACCTAGTTCGCAAAATTACGTCCATTATTTAAAATGTAACAGGATACTCTTTACAGAGATTTTTAATTGCTCCCTTATTAGGTTTTTCATTAAAAACAAAGCCTTTTCCTTTTATTACAAAGTACATTTGACTCTGATGATTTAAAACTCATTCTATCTAGAACTCTTTATGACTCGACGTCTATAAATATATGTTATGTATGCTCTTCGTGCAAAACTATCAATTGCTTTAACAGGTTTTCCAACTGGAATGAATTTAAAAACTATAAAGCTTTTAAATTCAATAATATAAAATATGTGTGAATGTTCAGATCTTTCTTGAAGATATTTCTGCATTCACCTCCAATCACTTTGTAAATCATCACTTTAAATCTTTCCCAGTATGAGTGGCGCCAGTGGGGTTCTACTATGATTTCTAACATACTTTTACTCATTTATCTGATGTGAAATTAGGTAGCCGTAAAGATGAATTCATTTGACTTTTTTTTAATATACCGAGCAGCTGTTACGTGCGTAAGAAGAGTTCACATAAGAGTCCACTAATAGACATGGGCCCCTTCCATTGTACAAAAGATTTGCCATAATTGCCATACTTGGCAAGCGATTTGGCAATCACAGCACTTGATGGCTTGCACTTTTGATGTTGGTCTCCATCACCAGTGTTTATTTTTCGTCTGCCAGACGAGAAGGTTTACCGCTAGGCAGACTGGAGGCAATGAACTCCTTGTAGCCTTTCCCGTAGTCAGTTAGTCCGACATCAAAAGGCGTGATTGAGTGACAGATCATTTTATAAAATGCAATGTACTGCTACCATACAAGTTAGAAGGTTTTACCCGGATAAACATTTTGTTTTTATTTTTTAAACAAAATCCATGGCTCTTTAAATTTTATTAACTATCTACGTATATATCCATCTTTATCTTTCAGCTAATATTGATTCACATTTTTTTTATGTATAACACATTTCATTTTAAACGAACCACAGAACTAATTAATTGAAAGTATATCATTAATAGATGCTTTTAGTTTTAGCTTTAGCTTTTACACGTTTTATTATTAGAAAAGGGGATATATATACGTTAAGGATAAGTATATCCATTTATCTTTAATATCCGGATCATTTGTAAACCTGGAATTAGCATTGTATAAAATAAACAGATGTATAAATATATGAATACAACATATACGAACAGCATATAAATAATTATATGTATGGGTGACATATTTATCGTTTTTTATTAGTTTTAAAGATCTGGAAATGACTTTCTGTTGTTTGCTATTTTTCAGTTACCCGGCTTCTTACAGATTGAATTTAGTCTAATATTCTTACAACATAATTACTTATCCTTAAAATATATTAAAACTCCATAAAAAGTTATCAAATAATATAAAAGTACTAACAAACAGATAATCGCTGATAAACGGTTAACGGTATAAATTATTTAGAAAGAAAAAAAATAGAGAAGGTGCAAATAAATATTTAACGAAAAATCACATTTCATTCCCACTTCGGTAAAACCTAGGTAAGGCAAACATAATAAATTATCGATACAAAATAGTAGTGTCACGTCACTGACTCACGCTCGACTCCTGTGGCAATGTTCTTGGAAATTTACGTACGCGACAATAATGTTTATTGGCCATACTATAAATTCATCGCTTCTTTTAGCTGTCCTACTCGTGAACATGAACTATCTTAAGAATCAATGGATATTGAAAAGTTAAAACAATTACATTTGTGGACACAATCGTAGTACCGGAGGTGAATAATTTTATTTAAGTATACTTCATTGAAAACAACATTATTTAAAACACTAAGTACTTATTTATGAAATGTTATCAAGTTGTGGAAGTATCTCCGCAGTTGGATATGCTGCTAAACACCATTTTTACATCTCTGCGTACGAAACAACGCTGTCAACCGAAATAAACGCTGCTCGCGCACTTGTGGCCTACGAGTCACATGTGCGGCGACAAGGTCATGCGCTTTTACGACTTCTATTGCCTTATTATCTAGATTTCTGTGAAACAAACCTTATTATTCGCGTGCGCGCGTGTGTGTGTGTGTGTGTGTGTGTGTGTGTGTGTGGTGTGTGTGTGTGTGTTCGTGAGCGTGTGTGTATGCGTTCGTGAGCGTGTGGGCATAATTTGTTTTTATCTGTGATATTGCAAAATGTTTTGTCAGTCATTTGACATTAAAAAAGTTGTGTTTAAACAGTGGAAGGAAGGACCTTCATTAGATTTTCCTTATTAACCTTTTTTAAAATATACTTTTGCAGAGTTACGCGGCATCTACGCCTTCAAAGCCGTCATCAGCTCCTCCACACACGACACTACAGCGGTCTGTACGTGGCGCGGCCAGCAGCGGAGTCCCAGCTCGGGTCATACCGCGCTTCCATTTCCCCAAAGGTCGTCCACCTCCAGCGCACCAGCAAGACCACGCTCTGCATAAAGTGCAGTCAGCGTTCGCAACATTTCCAAATAGTCAGGTTAGTCACTTTTTCTTATTCCCATTATTCAAAACTGAAGATACTTCTTTTTTTTTGTATGAAAACCTAACACCAGGAACTTCTAAATCGTAGAGGCATTTCACATACGGACATCAACGCCCGAAACAATTATGTTTATGCAGGGCCCAATCTAAGGGGGGGGGGGGCAAGCCGGGCATTTGCCTAGAGCGGCAAAAAATGAGGGGCGGCAAAATTTACTTATTCCTATCTTCCAACCTAGCCATTAGCCATCCACTACCCAAGTTGGCAGGTTAAGAATTTTATGTGCCACCTACTTCAGGTTGGATAGTGGAAATATTTAAGTATTTTACTTAACTGAATTATTTTAGCTCGAAACAAAGAAAGAAGTAGAGATCCGCAAAATGTACCGATACTTGAGTAGTATCGATACTTTTATTTCGATACTACGTATATTTGGACACGATACTTTTGTTCCGATATTTTGAGGTACCGATACTTTTATAAGTACTCGTTACTTTTAACAAAATTTGAGTCACATGACACATCATTAGATTTGGGTCGTAGGAGTAGGGGATTACCCTTCTATAGACAACAGCTTATGTTTAGAGCGTGTGCTGCCAGTTTCTCGTGATTTAGTAGATTTATTTTTTATCAGTTAAGTGAAAATGATTTAATGCAGTTTAATCCTGATCTACTTTTTTACTGTTGCTCTAATTTAAATCGAAATTTAAATTTAATTAGTTTGATATCATTGTTAAGTGTATGGTGTCTCATTGGTGATGTTTCGAATTCCAAGTTCCGAAATTCCTCGGATAATATTTAATATTACGGATATTACTCAATCAGAAGTTTTAAAAATAAATTGAAAAGTACTCAATACCTAACACTATCGATTCTATTGTTTCGATACTTTTCTCGGTTTTGCTTTTTTTGTATAACGTATATGCTTTAAGAGAACTCCCAAAAGATGAACTGTTAGAACATTGTAAGACTAAGAACCTCGAGGCTATTTTAACTCATGAGAACTCAAGCGATATAAATGCATTAGATCTTTGTGCGGAGTTGTCAGTCCTTTGTATGTTTTTAAATAGTAATTTATCTCCTCAAAATGTTTTAAAATTTGTAACAGATTTAAGATTTAGTCCAAATATCAGTATTACGCTCAGGATCCTTTTAACTTTACCAGTAACAGTTGCAAGTGGTGTAAGAAACTTAGAAATTAAGAATAATAAAAAATTATCTTTGATCTACCATGACACAGAATATAGATTATCTGGATTGGTTATGATTTCAATAGAATACAAGGTTTGCGACAGTATAAATTTATCAGATATTTTTATTTATTAAAGATTATTAAAGATTGTGCAGAATAAAAAGTGCGAAGAAAATGACTATAATTACAAGGTAGGATTTAATATTCTCCGAAAAACTGTTTAATTTACACAATTTCATTATTTGAAAAAAAAATGCTTTGTTTTGTAGTAACATAATGGTGTTTTTTTATCAGTATTAAATTTTAAAACAAATCTTTTGCTGTGTCTTTTTATACGTACCGTATGAACCTTAACTTAAATACATATGAACCAATTGACCACAATAAACAAATAAACAATTAAACAGCTTCGTTCTAATCTTTTTAACTTCTGAAACGATTTTGATGAAAAATGTTTATTGTTCTTTTAGTTAAAGGGTCATCATACATAGGCAAGATTAGCTCGAGACAGGGAAAAATAGCACAAGGGAAAAGAGGCCCATACGCAGCAGTGATTCGCAATAGGTTGATGATGATGATGATATATTTGAAAGTATATGGCGATAAAAAGATATATCAATCCATTCAGCATTGATTAAAACTACTTTTACGGATTTTATCGCGTTTATTTTTAATTATTGTTTATGGTAAAAAAGCTGAAGGTACTCCGGGTTTAACTATGACATCGGGACGTCAGTCATCTCAGTCCCCCGTGACCATGGGTGCTGCAAAGCGCCCGAAACGTCGGGAATTAAAAATGATAATAAAATAAACGCGATAAAATCCGTAAAAGTAGTTTTAATCAATATGTAGTGTTCGCGTAAATATAAGAAATCATTATGTAATCCATTCAGTAGTTACTATGAAATTCTTTAAAAGACATACATTGCATACTTACTAACATAAAAACACTCATCAACTTTCGTATATATAGGTACTTCTTCAGAAGGCCCAATAGACTGACATGAATATTACAGACCTAGCTATAATCCCAACAATATCACGTATTTTATGTAGGTACTTGTATTCTTAACATCCTCCAACATAACTAGCTCATGACTTATATGGTTTTGTGTATGTAAAAGGCGGCGAAAATTTCTTTACCCGGAGAGGCTAAATAGCTAAATTGGGCCCTGTGTTTATGTCATAAAATACTTGTTCCGTGCAGGATTCAAACTCACGGTCCAAACCATGAAGGTTAGAGAACAGTAGAACGATCACTACGTACTATAGCATAGCCCGCCTCTCCTTGAAAAATGTAGAATTTATAGCGGCACTGACGTCGATGAGTAGTGACTGCGAAGTTAGCTGTTTATGAGCAAAAGTAGATGAAGTTAGTTGAATAAGGTACAAATTTTCTCCGCGACATTGGTGAGAAAATGTTCATGCTCCGTCATTTTGTAATTTTTGACAAAAAGAAACATTGAAAAATGGAGAAGTATTTTATTGTGCTTGGATGTGCAAGTGGTTTAGCATCTGATCGGAGACTGAAAATGACTTTTATTGACCGAACTTAGCGATCGCAGCGCCTCACTTATGGTGTCCATATTTCTGGGACACTATTTTCTACGGCGATCGTTTTCCTGTTCTCTAACCTTCATGGTTCAAACTGTCTAGTATCCATTTCATAATCCCTTATTATAAAAATTAAGTCCAGTTGACATAAAGTCTACTTCTAGCACACTGTGATGAAAATTCATCACATCTTTCTTTAATAATACATACATACATATATACATAAACACTCACGCCTGTCACCCAGAGGGGTAGGCAGAGACCACAGACTTCCATTTAGCACGATCCTGACATACCTTTCTCGCCTCTTCCACATCCTAAGGGTACTCTTAATTTGGCCCATTTTTAGTATATCGCCAATTTGGTCGACAAACTTCCGCCTAGGACGTCCCTTTCCGACTCTTCCATTCACTTCTGCAACGTATATTTGCTTTGTCAGTCTTTCCGCATTCATTCTTTCTACATGACCAAACCACCGAAGCATTCCTTTCTTAATCCTGGTCACCGCATCATCTTGCAAACCACACTCTTCTTTTATCACACAGTTTCTCACCCTGTCACTCAGATTCAGCCCTAACATACTCCTTAGCGACCGCATTTCTACTGCATTTATTCTACTCTCGTGCTTCTTCTGCCACACCCAACTTTCACTACCATACGTTAAAGTAGGGACTAATACAGCACTGTGAATTGCCATACGTGCCTTTTTTGACACATTCTGACTTTTCACAATAGAGTGTAGAGCCCCATTTACTTTATTTCCTGCATTCACTCGTCGTTCAATATCCTTATCATATCTCCCATCCCTGCTGAATACACATCCCAAATATACGAACTCATCCACTTGCTCAATTAACTCTCCTTCTATTCTTATTTCACATACCGTTTTGCTTTCATCTCTTTCAAAAACCATCACTTTCGTCTTACTTGCGTTCACTTTCATTCCCCTTTCTTTTAATGACCTGTTCATTAATGTAACCATCATTTGCAACTCGGCCGCCGACGACGCAAGTATGACTTGATCATCGGCGTACAAAAGGCATTTGATGGTTAACTCACCCATGCTTAACCCGCATTCTTCAACTTTCAAATTTTCCAAACAGCTGTCCATAAATAGGTTGAACAGCCACGGGGAAGCTACACAGCCCTGTCTGACACCTTTATGGATGCCAAACCAGTCCGAGTAGACCCCGTTGATTCTAACACAAGCACTCGAGTCCCTATACAGAGACTTTAATGCCTGTATCAAACCAGCGCTCAACCTAAATGCGTTCAGCGTTTGCCATAACACATCCCTGTCCACTCTGTCATAAGCCTTTTACAAGTCCACGAACGCACAAAAAACTTTTTGGGTTTTCGCCAAAAACTTCTCCGCGATCATGCGCATGGAAAAGACTTGATCTGTACACCCCATTCCCTTTCTAAATCCCGCTTGCACATCCCAAATTTTTTCATCAGTTTCTTTCATAACTCTTTCAATTAGTACCTTAGCGTACAGTTTTCCCACAATGCTAAGAAGGCTGATACTTTTCGTCTGCTGTTACCCTTTTCCCTTATATATTGGGACTATCACGGATTTGCACCAGTCTCCCGGTACCCGCTTTAGTTCCCAACATAAATCAAACAAGTTGTACAGCAGGCCTGCCACCACGTCCTCTCCAGCCCTTAGCATTTCGGGTGAAACTCTATCATATCCGGCTGCCTTGCCTACTTTCATGCTTTTCATTGCTTTCATTATTTCATCTATACTTATCTCCCTATCTCTTTCATCTTCTTTCGGAATTTCTATTTCATTTAGTTCACACTTCTCCTCACTCATAAATTCGCTTTCAAAATATTCCTTCCATCTCTTTAAACTCAACACTTCATCATTCAGGATACAGCCATTCTCCTCTCGTATCGCATTCAATCTAGGCTGTTTTGAAAGTCCCCTGGTATTTCTTACGAGTTTCCAGAACATTTTAATATTTGCCTGGAAGTTATCCGATATTCTTCTATCATTCCTATCCGTTCTTTCTTGCTTTTTCCTTTCAACTAATTCTTTTACTCTCTTATTTAAACGTTTAAACTCTGCCTTTTTTCTTTCATTCTCATTATTCTTACCGCCAGAATTACCAGCTTTGGTCGCTAGTAAATCTAGCCATGCTCTCTTCTTTGCTTCAACTTCCATACGTACCTCATCATCCCACCATAACGTATTGTCTATCCTTTCATTCGTTCTCTTACTAACACCACATACTTCGGTAGCTGC